ACTTGCAAGGCAGCCCCCCGAACCGCGCTGCTAAATCCCCGGCCCCATTCTTGGCTTTATATGGGCAGTTTGTGCCTCCTTGACATACTCTACCCCAAGCAGAGATAATGCTAACTACCAGTAGTGATTCAGCAAATACTTTTTGGCTTTGATTTAACATCTTGCTGACACACACTTGAAAAACTGCATTCTCAAGTAAAAGGACAAACTTTTATAAAGGCATATAGTTCAAATAAATTTACCTAAAGTATTTTTTAAATTGAATGGTCTTTCCTCAATATAAAAACAACTTTACGTCATCCTGTCATTTGTATTGTGCCCTGAATCTTAGAGCCTTTTGTTTACAGTAGAAAAGGAAGACTGTCCCTTGGGCTTGTGATTGCATTTGATTGTCATATTTGATCCCAAACAGTTGTGATTTCCTATCCTCAGAGGAAGCCTTTGACAAGTTGCCTCAGTCCACTGTTCCTGAGATGCAGCGTAGCAATTTGGCCCCTGTCATTCTGCAGCTGAAAGCATTAGGGATTGACAATGTCCTCAGGTTCCACTTCATGTCGGTAAGTTCCGCCTTCATTTGGGGAGCTTTCAGGGGGTGTCAGGATATTGTGGTAGAGGCTGCTATCTTTCATTTTTGCCCATTCAGCTGAAATATAAGGTGCCAACTTCGTACAGGTTGTGTGCAGCAAAGGGGAGAAATAGACAAGGCAGCAACAGTGCTAGTTCATGTATAAGTCCTCTTCTTGACTGCTGGGGAACAGAAACAAGTGGGGAATGACAGCAGTATGCACAGTGCTCTGAGAGACAAAGTCATGTCCAAGGTGAAACCTGATACCTGAGTAGGATTTTACACTGTCAGGAGGGGTGGAAGTTTCTGTGTATGGATCAGGCTCCAGGAGCGCCTGTTTGGGGGAGCCAGAGGTTTGGTAGAATGTGGGGAAGATCCTGTGACTGATTGTGTGTCTGATGATTGCCTAGGGCAGGTTGGTAGGAGTGGGATTATTGGGCCGAAGGACTGTAGTCCTGTTGTAGGCTCTGTTGCTACCTGGTTAGATCTCTTACTGATGTCAGTTCGAGTGCACAGAGGCCTGGCTTCCAATGCTCCCATCAGCTTATTTTAGTTTTGTTAATTAAGACAGACAGGGAAAGAATAGTATCTTTATCTTTACCTTTTTGAAAATTTCTCATAAGGTAGATTTTTTTTTTCTGCTACTGGAAATCAAAGTCAGGGTTTTGTGCTTGCCAGGCAGGCACTGCACGACTTCATAAGGTAGATTTTAAATGTTTATTGGCCATTTCATATTTCATCTGAATTTTTAAACCATTTATCTGTTGGAATTAGTGTTTATTAATGATTTTTCAGAAGTCCATTAATGATAACAACCTTTGTAGCATTTCTTGCAAATATTTTTTGTTATTTATATTTTACTTGGATTTTTGTTTCTTTTTAATGTCCATAGAAAAGTATTTGTCTTTGTCATTATATTTTCTGTGGTTATCATTGTGCTTATGAAGCAGTTCTCATATGTAGGTCAGTTTATACATATTCACTCATTCTGGAATTTTAATGATTTGAGGACTCACATGTTAACTCTTTTTTGTGTCCTAAATGGTATGACAAGTCTGGATTTTTTTTAATAGTGAAATTCCTAATGTCATTGTCCCCTGGTAAACTAGATGAATGAAAGAATAGAATTACAAATACCAACCCCTCACAGAAAATAATTGTGTGCTTACAGTAAAGAAAAAGAAAATCTTCTTTTGCTATAGAAGATAAGGTGCTATAAAGAAAAGATGAACAGTCTATGCAAATATAAAACCCATGAAAAGTCCCACATCTAAGAATAAAAGAAAAAATGACAGAAATGACTTCTCAATATCTTTAGAAGTACAAATAATTTTCATATATACATCCTGTATAATAACTGAAATATCTACTAAAGAAAAAGCTAAAGGGAAGGAAGCAACATAAATTGTAAACTGGTATTAGGATGCATTGTGCTTCCCCAGGTGACAGAGAAGTACAAATTGTCAAGGCTGTGAAGTCTGAGAGAAACAGAGACAAAGACACAAACACACACACACACACACACACACACACACACACACACACACAGAATGAATATATCTTTCAGTGTAAACACTAATTAAATGTTCAAATATTAAGAAAAATGATGAGATCCAGAGCTGATGCAGTTTGGGAAAGTAAATGCCTTGTGTATAGCTGGTGCATTTTATACTTGGTTTTGATTCTTGTGAAGGGCGCCCTAACAATATTTATAAGCCATAAAAATGCCTGCTATTTTTTTCTTATGGAAATTTTTTCTGAAAAATAATTTTGAGTCGGACAAGGTGGCAAACACCTGTAAGGTGCCGCTACTTAAAAGGCTGATGCGAGAGGATGGCAAACTTAGTAAAACGCAGGGCAATTTAGCAAAATCCAATCTCAAAAACTAAAAAAGAATTGGAGATATAGCTCAGTGGGAAGGCCCTGGGTTCATTCCCCAGTACAGGGGAGCGGGGTGGGGGAGGCAGGGTATGTAGCTCAGTGGTAGAATGCTTACTTAGCATCGGTTCAGTCCTTGGTAGTACACACACACACACACACACACACACACACACACACACACAGGCATACACAAATCAAAAGAAGAAAGCTGACCCAGATGATAATGCTTATAGCAGTATTTTATATTAAATTAAAAAATATAAATAATGAAAATCATAAAACTTTTGGACAACTAAAAATGAACAAATATGTACAAATTTGTCTTTATATATATTCCTCTCTGGTTATTTTCCCTTGAAATTGTATTTTTAAGTTGAAATCATAAGGTACATATAATTTTGTATTTGAGAATGTTATTTATAATAGTGAAAAACTGGAAGCAAGTTTCTTCCAGTGAAGAAACAGTGAAAACAGGAAAATATATAATGAGGAGAAACTAAAACTATACATAGATATGTTAAATATACTGAAACAGTGCTGGTGTATGATCCCAAATCAGATAAGATCCTAGAGGAATACTGGTGAATCTGTGTTTCGGCAAAAACACTGTAAATATGATTTTTTGTGCATGATTGGGGGATGTAAACATTTTTTTATTTATGATGATGGCAAGAAATAGAACCAGGATTGGAAGTGTTAAGACCTTGTTAGTTTTTGTCTCTTGTTTGAAGCCTACATCAGAGCTTTGCTATTTCTCTTACCTCATATAACTTCAATATAAAAGATCCCCAGAGGGTTTGAGCTCCTTCATTTAGGTACTGTGTATTCACCTCTTCAAAGGTGAAGAAAGATATGATAGACTTTGTGGAGGGACTAGTGGGCCAGTTACATGCATTGCTCAGCAGTGATTTGTTGAAAACCTTATGTGTAGTGAATCACTAACCCTTATAAATGTGTGCACCTGAGCATGAAGTCATTCCTTCTTTTGAAAGTTTGGCTTTGTTTTTTGACAAACAAAGTGAATGAGATAGAGTGGAAAAAATGAGGCCTGAGCTTTGCATCTAATTTTTCTTTTTTTGGTTTTTTGAGACAGGGTCTCACTATGTAGTTGAGACAGACCTGGAACTCACTATGTAGCCCAGGCTGTCTCGAATTCACAGCGATCCTCCTGCCTCAGTTTCCCAAGTGCTGGGATTCTAGGTTGTGCCACCACACCTGGCTTGCATCTGATTTTAAAACCAGTTGCTTGTAGAGCTGAGTGTGGTGTGTGTGCCTGTTATCCCAACACTTGGGAGGCTGAGGCAGGAGGATCACCTGCAGTTTGAGGGCAGCCTGGGCTACATAATGAGTTCAAGGCTAGCCTGGCTACTTAGCAAGACCCTGTCAAAAACAAACAAACAAAGCCAGGTGTGGTGGTGCACACCTGTAATCCAGTCACTTGGGCTGAGGCAAGAGGATTGCCATGAGTTCAAGGCCCGCCTGAATTATATAGTGATACCCTGTCTAAAAAAAAAAAGCCTATGTAACTTTGTTCAAAAGTTTTTTACTGATTGCTACTCACTTTCTACATTTGTAAAATTGAGTCAAAATAATGTGATTTTTAAGGTGTATTTGTTATAATTGTCTTACATATTTTATATGTTCTTTGGCCTATTAGTCTGATTTTCATTGCGTATATGATAATTAACTTTATAAGGCCTTATAAATAAATAAATCTGGTGCTAGAAAAATAAAGGAAGGGTTGAGGGAGGGGAGAAAAAGAAGGAATTGAAATGTGTTATATGCATATACCAATCCACTACATATAATCATTATGTACTGTAAACATGTACAAATAAAGCTTAAAAAATATAAATATATATATAGGGTCCACCAAAAAATGCATACACCAGGAAAAGAAAAACTTATGTAAATATTTTAATACTAAATTTATGAAATAATGAGATAATACAGGTTACCTTTGGTCTCTACAATTATAAAAGGTGCTGAACATGATAGCCATTAACTTCTAGACATTTATTAGTATGGTGGACTGCTGGACTATGTATACATTTTTGGCAGACTCTATATATTTGTTATATAAATGCATTTAGTAGAAAAGCTATGCAGTTTGCAAAAATTCTATATATATATACATATATATATGTATATATATATGTATGTATATATTTTTTTGTTTTGTTTTGTTTTGTTTTGTTTTTTTTGTACCAGGGATTGAACCTGGGTCCTTGTGCTTGTGAGGCAGGTGGTGGAACCACTGAGCTAAATTCCTTTTCACCAAAATTCTATAGTTTTATTGCCTGTTTTTTATACTTTTATTACCTGGCTTTTTATTATGATGATGATGATGATGTCTGAGGAGACCTTGGGTACAATGAAGAGGTAGTTTAAGGCAGAGACTGTCACCTCTGATGGAGAAGAGGATGAGGGAGCTCTTAGGGGAAGTGTTTAATAGGGATGATCCTTGAAGGTCAAGTAGTCATAAGGATGCTGAGAAGGTGAGAAAGACATTTCAAGGGGGCACCAATAGCAGGAGCAGAAGCACAGAGGCTGGGAAGAATGGGGCATGCTGGAGGGAGAGTGGATTTGAGCAGAAAGTGCTCGTGTTTTTATTTTGCTTGCCCAAAGAAATTCATTTAGGAGACCTTTTATTTGTTTTGCAGCCCCCTCCAGCACAGTCGATGGTTCAAGCTTTGGAGTTACTGTATGCCTTGGGAGGTATGCCTGTTTCTGTCTTATTATTTGTTCTCCTGTGTGATACTAGTTAGTTGGGTTTATTTTAGGGTTATTAGTATCTTCAGTATGACTATTTTTCCCCATTTGTACAATACTTTTAATCATACTATTGAAATAAGAAGTTGGGACCATAATTAGACCGATAGTACATGAAGGCCAATTATGACAATTATAAAGCATGCCTGTACATCAAAAACCATGGATAGCTATTACCAGGGCCATAGCCTACGAGACATCTGGAGTCAGCAGATCTCTACCAGATTTCAGATGTTATACCTGCTCAGCCATTTTTCTCCATCCCTCATCGTATCTGCAGCTTTTTGTTTTTGTCCCCAGTTCCCTTTCATTTCTTTCTTAGGGTTCCTTGTGGGAAATTGGGTGGATCACCAGCTTGGGATATTATTTGGGCAAGGAAATGTCATATTATAGAGCAATCACTGTTCACTCTTTTGTTGCTTGAAAATGCGGTATGTTCATTAAGATAGAGAAGATTGTACCCTGAACTCACCTCTTCAGGAAGTACTCTCTCTGCATGGTGCCCCAAGTGGGTATCAAGTCCACTTTGGTATCAGGCTTCAGTGGAGTTTTGTCCTGAGATTTGTTTTGAGTGTTTCTCATTTAAACAGCTTTGTTAAGGTGTAAGTTACCACACATTTTACTCATTTACAGTGTGTGATTCATTGTCTTACAATCTTTATAATCTAGTTTTAGAACATTTTTTATCACTCAGAAAAAAAGAAATCCTATACCCACTAGCACTTACTCTCCATTCCCAAAATCACTAATCTGTTTTTTTTTTTCCCTCTATAGATTTACCTGCTCTGGACATTTTATGTTAGTGTAATCATACATGTGTTCTTTTGTGTTTGGCTTCTTTCGTTTAGCCTGTTTCCAAGCTTGATCCACATTATAGCTTATATTAGGACTTTATTCCTTTTTTTTGCTGAATAATATTCCACTGTATGGGTAGACCACATATTATTTTTATCCATTAAGTAGTTGATGGACATGTGGGTTTCTACATTTTGTAGTACAAATAATGCTACTATTAACATTATCATAGAAATTTTTGGTGGTTTGCATTTCCCTAGTGACTCATGATATTAAACACCATTTCATATGCTTATTTGCCATCTGTATACAGTGTCTGTCTTCCTTCAGTGTCTCTGGAGGATTGGTTCCAGCACCAGCACCCTCTTTGGATATCAGATCTATGAATACTCAAGTGTTAAGTAAATAAGTATTTGCATATACCCTATGCACATCCTCCTCTGTACTTTAAACTATCTCTAGATTTGTTATTACACCTAATACAATACAAATAATATAGGAATAGCTATTCTCCTCTATTATTTAGGTAATAATGATAAGAAAAGTCTGAGTGTGATTCATACAGAATTTTTTTTGTGAATATTTTCAGACTGTAGTTTATTGAATCCAAGGTTAGAACCCAGAGATTTGGACGTTTGACTTGGAAAAATATCAATTCAAATACTTATTCAGGGCTAGGGATTTAGCTCAGTGGTTTCACTGCCTGTCTTGCAGGTGCAAGGGCCTGAGTTCAATCCCCAGTGCCCAAAACAAAAACAAAAACTGTTCAAATCCTTTGTTCATTTTTATTTGGGTATTGGCTTTTTATTATTAAGTTGGAGGGATTCTTTGTATATTCTAGATATAAATTTCTTATAAGTGATTTGTAGATACTTTCATTTAATTTATGGTATTATTTGCAGTATACAAGTTTTAAGTAGCTGAGTTCTTTTTCATTTGCTGAGTTTTGGCTTTTGGTATTACATTTAAAATAGCATTGCTGGGCCAGGGATTTAGCTCAGTGGTTCTGGCATCTACCTTTCAACCTGCCTCTCAAGCACAAGGACCTGAGTTCGATCCCTGGTACAAAACAAAACAAAACAAAACATTGTTTATGGACTGGATGATACAGCTCAGTTGTAGAGCTTGTCTTACTGTGTTCAAAGTCCAAGGTTCTAGCACACACACACACACACACACACACACACACACACAAATTCACAAATTGTCTAACCTACTAAAATGTGGTCTTAGGTTTCCTTCAAAGATTTTTTTTTTTTTTGGTATCGGAGATCCTCATGCTTGAGAGGCAGGTGCAGGGCCACTGAGCTAAATCCCTGGCTCTCTTCAAAGAATTTTATAGTTTTGACTCTTAAGTCTGTGATTCATTTTGTTTAATCTTTTTGTTTTGAGTGAAGTGTAGGGGGCCTTTTAAATTCATTTTATTTATTATAGTTCTCTTTGAAGGAGTAGCCTATTATTGATTTAAAAGCTCTCTGTTGATTTAAAAGGTCTTCAGCATGGTCCACAGAAGATTAGCCCAGAACGAGTGTGTTGTTTTTGCAGTACCAGAGATTGAACTCAGGATTTGTACTTGCAAGGCAGGCAGTAGAACCACTGAGCTAAATCCCCCACCCCTGGAATGAGTGGGTTGGGATCGGTTTCGGTCTCCTGTTCTCTAGTGTGTAATAGGAGTTTGAAAGCAAGGATAACTGTAAGGAGGTAGGCAGAACATCAGCTCCATAGATGTTTTCCATTTGGATTGATTTTTCTTCAATAAAACAATAAAATTTAAAATGTTTTCTATTTCTTTTGTGTCCTAAATGAGCTAGGAAAAGTAGAGGGAAACCTTTACCTTAATTTAGCTTCACCTCTAAAGAAATTATTATATTGGAATAGGAGAAAAATGACCTTTTCTGTCTCATTCTGAGCTCCTGCAACATTTATTTTAATCAGTAAAGCAGTTGTCTATATCCAGGATCTTGGGAATCTAATACTTGAATATGGGCACGCAGTAGAAAGACCAGGAGAAAGGTAGTGAGTTGATTAGGAATCTGCCCTGGGGGAGGTTGGGTAAATAGGTGTAGTGTTGGGACTAAAGAAGTCTGGGGTAGTGTTTAGATCCAGAAGGTGACTGAGGGGAACACCAGGGGAGATTGTAGAGAACCAGGAGTAGGTGGGGCACAGAAGCTTGGGAAGAAGAATTCCCAGAAGCTGTGGTCAGCAGGATCAGTTGCTGCTGGAGACTAGAAAGAAGATGGCCTTCATGTGTCTGGTGGTGCTTAGCTGCTGGGACTTAGAGCCACATCTGTGGAGCAGTGGGAGTGGAAAGAAGTTGCTGTGAAACGAGAGAGTGGGAGCAAGAAGCTGCTGCAGCACCATTTCCTTCTAACTAAGTACTTGAATAAAAGTCGTTAGAAGTAGCAATGTTTTCAAACTGGGTATTCGGAGCTCAGTGAGCTCTTCTTTCAATGCAAAGGCTCTTTGGTATCAAATTGGGTTTGGTAGTATGCGAGTCATCTTTTGGATTTCTTTTTAAAGCATGCATCATCTTTTATTCTCTCAGCAGTTGAACATCTTCCAGCACAATGAATGGCACCTGCCTTCTGATTTCTTTTTGTTATTGTTCTCTGGCAGGTCTGGACAAAGACTGTCGCCTAACTGAGCCACTTGGCATGAGAATAGCGGAGTTTCCTTTGAATCCCATGTTTGCCAAAATGCTCCTTGAATCAGGTGGGTAGAGCCTGACAGCTTGCGTTGACTTTATTTTGATTGTCAGTTTTTGTTTCTATTTGTGGCTAGAAACAATAGCAAAAAAAATTTAGAATTTACCATTATTTACCATTTTAAAATGCTTTTTTGGGGGGTGGTACAGTGGGTTGAACTAGTGGTCTAGGGAAGTACTCTCCCACTGAGCTACATCCCCAGCTCTTTTTACTTTTTTGAGACAAGGACTTCTGAAGTTTTCTAGGCCAGTCTCAAACTTGCAGTGCTCCTGCCTTAGCCTTCTGAATTGTTGAAATTATAGGTGGGCACCACTGTGCTCAGCTCTTTACATAGATCTGAAACGTCAAGTACATTCACATTGATTTGCAGCCATCACTGCAATGGAGTGCTAAAACTTTCCCTTGTGTTCTTTCAACATCTCCTCCTTCCCTGTCTTTTCTTCCTCCCCAGCTTCTGATGTCTTCCTGTTGGCTGTTTCTGTAAAATTATTTTTTTAGAGTCCACGTGTAAGTGAGATCATAGCAGTGTTTGCCATCTGTACTTGGTTTATTTTGCTTAGTATATCGTCCTCTAGTTCTATCCATATTGTCTGGAATGACAGAATTTTCTTTTTCAAAGGCTATGTGGTATTCCATTGTATATGTACCATATTTTTATTATGCATTCATCTGTTGATGGATATGTGAGTTGCTTCTTTGTTTTAGTGTTTGTAAATAATGCCATAATAAACAGTACAGATTTTGCTTTTACATCCCCATTTCAACTCTTTTGGATGTATACCCAGAAGTGGGATTACTGTATCATATGGCAATTCTCTTTTTAGGTTTTTGCGTATTTCCATTATTTACAGTATTTTCTAATATGGCTGTGTTGGCATTAATTTTTTTAACAAATTGCCATATTATTTATCACAGTGTCTGTACTGTATTATATTTCTGCCCACAATATACAGGGTTCTAGTTTCTCTGATACCCTTCAAATTTTTGTGAGGACACGAATTCTATAATAAGCATACATAACATGGAGATCTGTTTAATTAGAAATCAAAATCATGTAGACATTATAGATTGTTTTT